TACATATTTAAAAGTATATTACTCTCTACTTTACGTCAGGGCCTCTTGAAGGGCCGTCGTACTCTGTACGAGCTCTCCAACAAGCCGGGCAGGACCTTGGCGTCGGCCCTGCGGGGCCCTCGCCAAGCTACCTTTATACCCCACATTACATCCAGCGCGGGAACTAGATTGACATCGTCCGTTGACATGGCTAGGGAATTTCAAAGCTTCTACCGCTCCTTATACAATTTGAGCTCGGGGTCGGGATCATCCCCTACTTCACATGATAGTACTACTTTGATATGCTACATCAGTGAGTCTGGCATGCCCACCCTCCCACCTGACGTCAGAGACACCCTAGACACGCCGTTCACTCAAGAGGAATACGATCTGGCACTCAAGCAAGCCAAACCGGGTAAGGCCCCTGGCGCGGATGGTTATACACTACCCTACTACAAAACTTTCTCCCATGTCCTCTCTTCCCGTTTCCTAGATGCCTACAACTCCCTCTTGTTGGGCTCAGCTCTCCCCAGGGACTCCCTACACGCCTACATAGCGGTCAATCCTAAGCCCGGTAAGGACCCATCCCAGTGTAGCAGCTACCGCCCAATAGCTCTCCTCAATTTAGATCTCAAGATCTTTGCTAAGATCCTGGCCAACAGACTGCTCCCGTACATCCCTGATCTGGTACACCTGGACCAGGCTGGTTTTGTCCCCAGACGAGAACCTAGAGATAATACCACCAGAGTGTTGAATGTAATTCACCATGCTCGATCCGCCCCGTCGCCCCTGTTGCTCTTGTCCACTGACGCGGAAAAGGCGTTTGACAGGGTGGAGTGGCGCTTCCTCCAGACTATCCTCCGTCACATTGGCCTGGGCACCAGTATGATGCGCTGGATTTCCACGCTTTACTCTGCCCCGTCGGCAGCCGTCCGGGTGAACGAAGCCCGCTCGGATTTCTTTTCCATTTCCAACGGCACGAGGCAGGGTTGCCCCCTTTCCACGCTCATTTTCATTCTCACCCTGGAGCCCTTCCTATGCCGGGTCCGAACCTTCCCCGATTTCCGAGGCCTAGTAAAACGCTCAGGAGAAGACAGGGTAGCTGCCTTTGCAGATGACCCGATATTCTTCATCTCTGATCCCTGCTCATCCCTCCCGACTCTTATGCGGGAGTTGGACCGCTACGCCTCGTTCTCCAACTTCAAAATAAACTTCTCTAAATCTTCGGCCTTAAACATATCCGTCCCTCGGGCTGACATGGACCGCCTGCAGTCCTCCTTTCCGTTTACCTGGTTGACGGACGCCCTGCCCTACCTGGGCACTAATATCGCAGCAGACCCCACAAAGCTCTACAAGCTCAACTTTGCTCCCCTACTCCAGAAGACCAAACAAGACTTGTTATCTTGGCACCTCCTGTCACTCTATTGGTTTGGCCGTTGTAATGCCATCAAAAATGACAACTTTACCGAGAATCCTCTATTTGTTCCAGGCCCTCCCGATCCGCATCCCACCAATTTTCTTTCGCCGTATGCGTCAAATGCTCACTGCCTTTCTATGGTCCTACTCCCCCCCCCAGGATCCGCTATTATACAGTTACCCTTCCCAAAAATAGGGGAGGCATTGGCCTCCCGGACCTGGCCAAATACCACAAGGCAACCCACCTTGCACGTGTTTGGGATTGGTGCTGTCACCGGAAAACCAAGCAGTGGGTGGGTATGGAGGAGGAAGATACTAACCCGGCCCTGGCCGGACTCCCCTGGCTCTCTTCACCTCTGCCGCCCTCCACCCGCTCACATCCCACTATCGCACCCACACTCCAGATCACTTTTTCGTTCCACGGACATCTCTCCCTTCCCCTCGCCTTTGACTCCGGTAATTGGCGACCCAGACTTCCCACCTGGTGTTGACAACCCTCTCCGTGAGGCCAATAAGTTTAGACTATGCGACCTCCATCTTGCCGGCCGGTGGCTATCGGTCAGAGAATCAATCTGACAGATCACCCCCTTGACCACTGGGGTGCCACCCAGCTAAGGCACTTCCTGCTCTCTATACCCCACCACCAACGGATAGCCAGGCCTTTGACCTCCTTTGAACAGGTCTGTAAAGATGAGCTGCCCACCCGTCATGCAATTTCCCTCCTGTATTCCCTGCTGATATCCCCCCCCCAATCATATCCGGAATTCGTAGCCAAATGGGAGAGGGATCTGAACACTACCTTCACACCAGCCCAAAAAGACCGCATACTGCATCTAGCCCACCATACCTCTATTGCCTCCAAGACACAAGAGTTGGGGTACAAAATAGTCTCCCGGTGGTACCGAGTCCCCACAGTCCTCCATGTCATGTACCCCCAGGTTTCATCCACGTGTTGGAGATGTCAGACCGCTCCGGGGACGTTGCTACACACGTTCTGGTCCTGCCCTCAGCTGCTTCCGTTCTGGCGGGGAGTGGTCGCCACCCTAGGGGACCTGGTAATGGTGGACCTGACGGACAACGCTGCTGCTTGTCTATTACACCTGAACAATATACCAATTGGAAAATACAAAAGATCCCTGTCCCGACACCTCCTGAATGCGGCCCGTTCATGCATTCCCTTGCTTTGGAAGCAATCCTGCTGTCCCACCCTCAGGTTGTGGTTCTCAAAGGTCGATGAGATCTACCTCATGGAAGACCTGACTTCAACGTTGCGGAACACTGAGGAACTCTTCCGATCCATATGGAGGCCATGGGCCGCGTTTCAGGGTACAGATGCCTACCAACAAGCCATGAGCGCAGTACCCCCATAAGCCCAAACGGGGGTGCAGACCCTACACAGCAGACGCGCCACTCTACTGTACCCGGCATACTTGAGCTCCCATTCCTGCTCTCTCTCTTCCCTCCTACTTTCACCCTCATGTTCCCTCCTTATCCTAACTACTCTTCCCATGCTGCCCCTACTTTCATGGAGCACACGAGATATCCAACTTGTTTGAACAATGTCAGCGGTAAAGCAGGCAACTAGAAATCATAAAGTGCTCTAACATTGGCACTTGCCCCCCCTGTCTGTGCCACTCTGGACCCACGACACGCATGGTGCCTAACTTCATTGTTTTACCGATTGTACTTGTTGTATCAGCTGGGCCCGCTGTGGCAACGTGTTGGATACTCTACTAAACTTGAGCAATTGTGTCATGTCACGATAACTTTACTGTGATTCACGTTTAACCTTTGCCTCGAATATATGCTGATAATGCTGCCATGCCTTTGAGGAATTTGCCTCCATGTAACTTTGTACCTTACCTTTTCTATTTTTACAATAAAGTTGATTCCTGATTTAAAAAAAAAAAAGTATATTACTTTGTAGATATAAATGGATTATGAATGTTGTGTTTATAATGTTCATTATATGTGGATTAATGCACTAATTAGTATATAGTGGTTTGCACATTTTATATAGTGGTTTATAATGAAAGTTTTAACCCTCATAGCGCAGTGCACTTTAAGGAGTCAGTGTGGAGGCCAGTGCATCAGGGAGCTGCGGGTTTGTGAACCATATTGAGAGGATTGGCATGTTATTGCCGTTGTCTGGAGGAACCAGACAGTGGCCCTAAAGATTGAGACCGGAGCAGCAGTGCGGCAAGAGAGACAGATTGGAGTGTCCTTGTTACAATATATATATATTGTAGAAAGAACATCACTGTGTGGCCCCAGGGCCCGGCTCTCGGGCTTCCTCAGAGTGGAGCAGCAGAATGCTGAACTCTGAACCACAGCTTACAGTGTCAGGAGCTTGGCCGGGACAGAGCACTACCTGCTGGCCAAGTCTGAGAATTGCACCCGGCCAGCAGCCTCTTAGCTCCAAGATAAACGGAGCAGCCAAATATAACTTCCGATCTAGATCTACCAGAGTTAGCAATGCAATCGACTGGTAGGTTGCGATCAACCTAATGGCCACTCCTGCCTTAAGGTTTTGTGAAGAGATTATATACTTTAATCCCTCATTCCAGGCTCAGTAATAGATATGAAGAAATGCAAGGAAGAAATGCAAGAGGGAAATGATCAGTTTGAAATATATTCACTTGCTGCAATCTTTGGGGTTTATTGAATACTGACAACAATCTGGGAAGCTAGCATTCTACAAAGCATCTGTAGAATTAATTTTCGCAGTAAGTTCCAGGACACTTGTTGAAAAGAATGAGATCACTGCTAATTGTAGTTATTTTATGGAAACAGTGCATATTAGAAAATTAATCTGCTTAAGAGATGGCAGGGAGAAATTAGTAAATACCTTAAAGTGTATTTCCACTTTTGCAGCCAAGTTGGGATAACAACCATTTAATATTCGTTATAAGTTCCCATTAACATAGCAAAAAATATTTTAAAACTTCAGCTTACTTTTTTGCCCGCTAAATAAAAATCTCATTTAGCACCCAATTTAATGTTAAGGAGAGGGCTGTGGAGCTAAAGTTGACCATAATTAACAGTGTCAATAGTGTGCTGGCTGATTTTCATTATCAGTTGTTACCTAGATATGCAGGACTGTCTTTCCTACAAAAAGATTAAAGATAGCCTTCAGTGGGACAATATGTCAATGAATAATTAAAAAAATACCAACAGTACCTCCATTTCTCTATCTATTCTAAGCAATGGAAGCTGCCTGTGGTGTCCTATGTATAAACCTGCTCCAAACAAACTAGAAACTTAAATAATAAAACAATTTTTTTTTTATTTACTGCCTCTATACCCCCCCCCCCCAAAAAAAAAGGAACAAAGAAAAATGCTCCTGTAAAAAGATGCTTTATACTTACGTGAATTTTGCTTCCTGTGTGGAATCCTTCTGCTGCAGAACTACGAAGTGCTTTGATTCTTCACAGTTGAGACACTGTTTAGGATAACTGTCTCTTACGGCACCAGTGGTTCCCCTTGCCAACCCTTACAAGTCAATAAAGGACTGTGTAGGGTTAGCAGGGGAAACAAAATGCTAAGCCAAAAGGACAAGAAAATAAAATAGGTGGGTGGTAATGTGTTAATTAAAATGACAATACCTTGTTTGGCATCATGGCAAGCTGCTGTCCTTTGCATATGGACCCAGATTCTAATTTTCCTAGAACTACTGTGCCCATATCCTGTAAAAGGAGCAATAAGAAAAAAAAAAGATATTGACAAGTCTCAAAATGATCAGAACTGGCTTTTAATTAAACAGTGACTGACTTAAGGGTCTATTTATTTAAAAAAAATTGCACAGCTTTTTGTCCAATGAAACTGCATGCACATTCGTTCTCTGAGTGAATTACCAGACTGTTGAAAGAATAGGGCAAAATTGAATATTCTTAGAGCATCTTCTATTCTAGTCTAACTTTTTTTTCTTCTTTCTTACAGTGGTTATTACAGTATACCAATTTCAATGTTCACATTAATAGCAAGCTCCTGTTCTGCTTTCACAGTTCTAACAGCCTCTGTCAATTATGCAGCAGCATGACTTATTGAGAACTGTTGCAAAGTTGCCAGCCTCATTAAAGCTGAAAAAAGAAGTTTAAAAATGTACTGGAAAACAAACAGTTACATTTTAGGATGTGCATCCTGGATCACTGAGTTCTTTACAATTAACAACTTCACAAGTGTCAGGAAGTGGTCCCAAAGCAGACTTGCAGCTCTTTAATAATCCTGCCTGCCCTTCCTTTTCCCTGTCCATTCACAAATGTGAGCCATTTCACAGAATACAATGTTGGGTGAATGGAAATGGGAGAGGAAGGATGGACAGGATGGCTACTGTATAGGAGAGCTCCAAGTCAGGACAGATAGAGCTTTCGTTGGTGGTATTTAATCACCACTGGGATTTTAATTTAGTATATTAAGGAAAAATTACATAACATTTTGAAAAAAAGGTGTTTTTTTAACATTGTTATAATACAATTATTATTACCCAATTTATTGGTAAGATATAAAAGACGGGGTCACGTCGGGTAAATAGATACTAAACATATCAAGCTTTAAAATTGCACGGAACGTCGAAATCGCAAAAAACTACCATACCCAAAATTGACGGTAAGCAAAGCTTTAAAAGCTTTTACCGCTCATCAGTTTAGTGTCATCAATGATTGATGGCCCTAAAATTATTGCTCTCACTGCGATGTTCGCGGCAATATGTAACATGTGCGGCTTAATGCGCGCAATTATCGTTTTTCGCACGTATACGCACCCGACGCATGTTTGTAAATGTGTATGGGTGGGGACTTCTAAAAAATCATTGTTTTTTCTAATTCTTTTTCATGTGTGACTAATTTTTAATTTGCAACTTGATTTTGTATTCACTTAACATTGTTATCACATAGGGGGCTAGGAAACCCAGCTATGTGATAGCAAAGAAATGTGACCGGTCCTGTTTATGGAGACATCAGTGGACTCCAAGACCTGTAATGTCACCCAGGGACCCCCAAAGAAGCTGATGAAGCAGAGATCTGTGTCATTTATTTATTTCATTTATTATTGGTATATAGCGTCAACAATTTACGCAGCACTTTACATAGTTGCACATGCACATCAGTCCCTACCCTCAAGGAGCTTACAATCTAAGGTCCCTATCTCACATGCATACTTAGAGGGCCAACTTAGAGAGGAGCCAATTAACCTGCCAGCATGTCTTTGGAGTGTGGGAGGAAACTGGAATACAGGGAGAACATGCAAACTCCTTGCAGATAGTGACCTGGCCGGAAATTTGGGCAGACTCCCCCACGCGCGAGTGGCTGACGGGACGTTTAAATACGCCCGCTCAGATCTAGGAAGCTCCCGGCTGGCCAGATGTCAACAACGGCCGGCCGGGAGGCGGTTAAAGAGGCTCAACATTATGTTGTATTGCAGCAGCTGCTATGCTTGACTGACAGAGGCTGTTACAGCTGTGACAGCATAACAATGGCTTGCTATGAGGCTATGTTCACACCATGTCCAGACCAGATCTAATGCAGATGAGCAAACGCAGTGCAGTGTGTATTTTTGCAGAGGTTTTTGTCAAGATTTTACCGTGCTACAGTGCTGGTCTTTTTTTTAAACTTAAAATGGGCTTTCAGGTACAGTCCATTGCGTTTGCATGCATTTGTATGTGTTTTTGATGCGTTCCCAGAGCATTCCAGACCAGAGAAAATGAGACAAGCAGTGTTTTTATTTTGTCTGGACCAGAACAGACTGCGCTGGTGTGAACAGAGACCAGAAATACCATAGGGATACATTGGGATGCTTTTTTGGTCCGGGAATAAACTGTTCTGGTCTGGACATGGTGTGAACAAGCCCTGAATGTAAACACTGAAATTGGTATACTGTAATCACTTTCAGTGAGGAAAAGAACTTTCGATTCGAAGAGAACATACCAAAAGAACATTCGATTTTACCCTATTCTCACAATTGTGGTTAACTCACCCAGAATGAATGTATAATAATAAGTTCCCATTTTTTGGACATCAATGGAGACTGTGAAATCTGACCTTTATTAAAAACAATATATCCAACAATATAAAATGTGTATATACACAAATAATCCCACCATAGTAGCAGAAGCTAAAACCTGTAACCTGTAAAACAAATATGATACCAAACGGGTCTTATTGGTGATGTACAAGTCTCCAAATCCACCATGGCTTTGGGTATCATAGTATTTGAGCCAGGGCAAGGATTTTTGACTACACAGGCAAAAGAGCATTTTTGCACCCCCCACCCCACTTTTTAAAATTTCTATTTGTTTACTTTTTTTAATTTTTATCTGATTCTCTTTCACTTTTTTATTTGTTATAATTTTAATTCTAATTATTTG